AAAGCCCACATCATACCTCACGTGCAGTCACCCAACCCTGCTTCACACATACCAACATGCTCATCTGGTCACACAAACATTCAGTCACACAGATACCATCATGCCGTCACACACACACACCCTATGTCACAGTCACATGCAGTTATACACACCTTGTGTCACATACCTGACATGCAAACACATCACACACTTGATATGCAGTCACACAAAGCCCACATCATACCTCACGTGCAGTCACCCAACCCTGTCACTGACACCAGCACGCAATCACACACACTCACACATGCACACCGTTTCACATACCTGACATGCAGTCTCTTAAGTCACAGACTTAACACACAGCCCCACACACACCCCATGTCGCATGTTGCACGCACACCTCATGCTCACTCCTGACAGGCCTGCAGGCAAACAAGCATTGGTCCAGTGCAGGACCTACTGTTCGTTGGTCATGTACCTGAGAGAGACACCCTTGCCCACCTCAAACCCAGTGAGCGTTCACACGTGTGTGCTCAGAGGTTGCTCTCTTAGGGACCGCGCAGACTCTGCACGTGCTGACAGACCATCCTTGTGGGTACCCATGGCTGGCTCGGGGGCTGTCCCTGACTCCCCTGGGGACCTACCACCCCCAGCCACAGCCCATCCCCCACTCTTGCCTCTGCAGACATTGTCCAGACTGCACAAAGGGGATCAGGGCAGTGACTGGCGGGGGAGGGTCTGGGACCCGTGGGAACTGCCCTTCCTGGGCCAAAGGGGCAGGGCAGGGGCAAGGCCCCTGCCAGGGGTGCTGTCACCTGCTGGTGAGCCCCTGGGGGCCTTGAGCTCTGTTCACAGGGCAGGGGACACTATAGTGGGACTTAAAAACCTCCCCATCGAGCCTTCACATCAGCCTGGGCCCTGGCCTTGGTCCTGCCCCCCTCGCCATCCCCAGATATGCCCCAGGCCCAAAGGGGCGGGGGTCACACAGGCCCTGTGGCTCTCAGCTGTGGGCTGGCCTTGTTCCTGTCCCACCCAGGTGCTGCCACCGTCGGGGGCCAGGACCAGTTTAGGCATGCCTGGCCCAAGCTTACAGAAGCCCGTGTGCAAACCCTGCAGGCCCCTTGCTCCCACCAGCTGTGCCCTTCCAGGCGGCCCTCAGGACAGCGTGGGAGTCAGAGGCGTGGAGCAGACCCAGGCCAGGAGCCTGGTGCCTGATTACTTCCCGGATGGAGCCTGGAGGTGTCAGGCAGACACCCAAGGGAGGCCCCAGGGCTTTTCATCCAGCCCTTTGGCCCTGCTGGCTAGGCCATTTGCTGGGGTGGCTCTGGGGGTCCACGTGGATGAACCAGCCTGGGAGGAAGACTTGCCACTTGGGACCAAATGGGCAAGTGCCGGGCGGGAAAGCGTGCTGGACAATGGGGGTGGGACTGGACGGCACTCCGGGGAGGGCTCGGGAGGTGTGGGAAGCCCCCCGGGGGTCGGGCCCCAGGCACTGTGCCACTCACGTCCTTTCTGCTTCTGTGAGCTTCACGATCTCTGGTCTCAGCACAAGCAGCTGTTCCCCTGAGGCTCCCCAGTCAGTCCCAAGGCCCCCATGGAGGACCTGTGAGCCACCCCTCAGGCGGGCTGACTGTGAGGTCAGAGATCCCAGCAGGAGGTCACCTGAAGGAGTTTTACCAGGGCCCTCACCCATGCCTGGTCCATTGGGTAGGTGGGGGCTGCGGGGGGAGGGGAGGCCACAGGGAGGCACTGGCTCCTTGCTCAGAGCAGTAGGTCCCCAGAAGCCAAGTCTTCAAAGCCCTTTTCGGAGGAGGCGGCCACTTAGCTTGGGTGCAGGGTGGGGGCCCCTCGGACTCCACACTTTGCATTTTGGTAGACAGGTGTCTACTAGGCGGGGGAAGGGCCTGGAGGGGGGCTTTGCCGACAGCCTGGCTGCAGGCCGGGGGCGGGGGGCAACCCTGTTCCCTGTGTTCCTGTGCCCCCCACTCCTGGTCCACTCTCAGGCCCCCCTCAGAGGGGCCCTGCTCCTAGCTTGTTTGGGGTATGAGTGTGTGTGTAGGCAGCCAGCAGTCCTCAACCCTGGGAGAGGGTGCCCCTGCCTACCACGTTTCCTGGCCTTGACCAGGTCCCCTCACTACACACTGCTGCTCCTGGCATGTATAGTAGACGCCTGTTGGCATGCAGTCCTGTGCCCATGCACCCAGGACAGGGGCCTGGTCAGGTCAGGAGGCACTCAGGGCAGGGGGTGTCCAGGGCAAGTGGGGTGCTGAGGTTAGGGGGCACCCAGGGCAGGGGGCAGCTTAGGGCAGGGCGTGCTCAGGGCAGGGGGCCACTCAGGGCAGGGGCTGCCCGGGGCAGGGGGCACTCAGGCCAGAGGGTGTCTGGTGCAGGGGGCACTCAGCATGGGGCGCCCAGAGCATGGGAGTGCTCAGGTCAAGGGGCACCCAGGGCAGGAGGGCAGCTTAGGGCTGGGGGCACCCAGGGCAGGGTGGTGCCCAGGGCAGGGGGACACAGACTTCCCTCGAGACATGCGGTTCAGAACAAATGCTGGGGCCTTTCTTCTTGCTAGTCCCTGGCTCAGTGCTGAGGGTCATCCCCGTCACTGGCCTTGGCAGGCGTGGCTGGGAATTCTGGGCTCCCAGGGTGCTGAGGGCAGGCTGTTCGTGGGTGTGGCCCCTGGTTGGCTGCTCACAGTTCCCTGGGAAGGCGCCTCCCCTAGTCACCAAGTCCCCACCTGTGGTGGGGGGTACAGGAGGGTGACCCAGGCCCACTGCAGCCCCTCCTCACGTACCTACTAGCCCAGGTGAGGGGCAGCCTGCAGGAGCAGGACAGCTTTGGGACGGTCCCCAGCTCTGGCTGAACAGGACCTTTCCCACGCTCTTCTTTAGGGCCTGTGGTGGGGAGGGGACTCCAGAGAGGACCCCCAGGTGGGGCTGCACCATGGCCTAGTACCCTGCCTGGCTCCAGGCAGAGCAGACTGGTGCTGCTGGCCCTAGCAGTTTTTAGGGCAGAAGTGCCTGGAGTCAGAACCCAGAGGGCATTGGCACCAATCTCCTGTAGCCTCCCCAAGCCAGCGTGGGAAACCAGTATACTAGAGGACCCCCCTGAGACCGGGAACCAGGAGGCTTCCCAGCCCCTCCTGCCCCTACTCACCTGGGCCCTCCCACTGCCCCAGCCCTTCCCACCAGCTGGCTCTGGGGCAGAGGCTGCCCTGCCCTAGGGGCTCCTAGACTGCGGGGTGCGGCAGGGTGGGAGAAGGAGGGGGGTTGGGCCAGGCACCGCTCTTGTCCCTGACTGGCCCTGAGGGCCCCGTAGTTGGGGGTCTACTTCTCATGAAAGGAGCTGCCCCCTTGAGTCCCTCACAGGGAGCTGAGCAAGGGAGTCCACGTGAGGTCCCTGTGCAGGGGTCCTGCCAGCCCAGTGCTGTGGCCACGAGCCATTGCACAACCCTCGGAGCCCCCTTTGTTCAGAGCGGAGGGACCATGGCTCCCTCTTCCACTCCCGCTGACCCTTCACGCACTTGGCTGGACCACAGCCTCAGAGGACAGGCCCAGCAGCACCCGGAGCAGGTGGCCAGGGCCCCGGTGGACAGGGAGGCCCTGGTGCCAGGCCCAGCCCACGGGCAGCCGGCCAGGCACAGCGGAAGGCGGACGCTGCGGGCGGGCGGCAGAACCGGCCTTTCCAGCCAGGGAGGGGGCCGCCAGCGGGCAGCGGCCGCCGTGGGAAAACTGGGCCCGGTGGTTCCCGAGGGTGGGGCCGGGCCCTTTTGGAATGGATAGGGTGCTTGTCTGTGGCGGGCAGTGACTCAGTGTGAACTGGGCAGCATGCCCGCCTGCCTTCTACCTCAGACCCCAGCCACCTCCTGCCATTCCACCACCCCACCCTCACCTGCCGGCCACTGGCCTTGGGCCCAGGTCCTGTGGGTGCTCAGCCCGGGCTCAGTGGGCCACCACACAGGGTGCCATCTGCCCAGGTGGCAGACGGAGGCAAGACTTCTCAATCTCTCAGCCCCTTCCTCAGCAAGGTCTGAAGGGGACCCCTTACCTGGACCCCTGCCTCGGGAAGCCTCTGCACTTCTGACCCATGAGGGCAAGTCCACGCTGGCCCCAACTCCACACTGGGTGGCGGTGGGGCTTCGGGGACAGGCTGGGAGAGGTGGCAGAGGCAGCTCCACTATGGATGGGGGGCTTCCTGGTGGGCAGCTGGGCCGTGCCAGAGGGAGGTGTGGGAAGCCTGGGGACAGCCCAGCCCCACCCCCAATCCACTGCCCCGGGCATTGAGACAGGAAAGGGCAGTGGGGGAGGGCAGCCCTGAGGCAGTGGTCTGCAAGTGCCAGGTCATCCTGGTGTTGGGCAGGACTCTGGCTATGACCCCCACAGCCCCATCCCACCACCTCTGCAGGGCAGTCCTGGGAACGGCCGGGCCCTGTCCTCGGACCCGCTCCCGGGGCTGGGATCCGTGTGAGTCCTGGGGCACCTGGCTGCACCTGCGTGGGAATTGGGTCTCGGTGGGCCCTGCCTTGCCAGAGCTTCCTACAGTCCAGGCTCGTCTCCTTGTCCGGGCAGTAACCAGGGCCTGGATGGCTGTGGTGAAAGGGTACCTGCACTGGCAACCCACCCACCAGGTGCAGTCACTGCTGGGGGCCGGGCACCTGGCTGGACCTGGCCCCGGCATCCCCACCCCAAGGTTGCTGCTGGGGTCACCGTGGCACTGAACCCCTCACAGGACGGGTGGAGGTCACATGGCATTAGGCCACTTGCATGTTCCTGACGCACCAGGTAGAAGTCCTGGCACTGTCCTTCCTGATGCCTCCGGTGGGGGCCCTGCCAGGGTCACCAAGAAACGGGTGCACCCTGCCCCTGCCCTCAAGAGCAGTGGAGTGCAGTGCTGGTCTCAGTGCAGGAGGGGCCTCGAGGTCCAGGAGGACGTGGGCTGGGTCAAGAGAGCGCTACGGGACTGTGCCTCCTGGCAGGGGCATGGGGAGGGAAACCCTGCTCAGGCCTAAGCGCTGTGTTCCTCAGGTGTGTAACTGTGACCAGTACCTGAAGGTTTCCAAGGACATGATGAGACACCTCCTACGGCTTGGCGGCTACCATGAAGGCCCCCGCAGCACAGGTGAGGACACAGACGTGCCCTGCAGGGTCGGAGGTGGGTCACTGGCCACCAGCAGCCCAGCCCTGAGCTTCCTGGGAAGATGGTGACAGGACAGGTGCAGGCTGGGCTGGGCCCTCGTGCCCCAGGTCCCCATGCAGGCGGCACCAGGCTCAGCCTTAGTGCCCTGTGTGCTGTCCCCACCTCCTGTGGTGGGCCCTGCCTGTGTGCACACTACGCACACGCTCCCAAGCACACTCGTATGCTCTTGTGTGCACACGCCCAGGAACCGATGACAGACTGAGCACAGACAGACCTGAGCCCACGGGAAGGAAGGCAGCCACCAGCTGCCCCTTCCAGGGAGGCTCTCACCGAGGGGCCCAGGACTGTCCTGTTTGTAAAACCAGACAGGAGCTGCCCCTCCCCTCCCTGTGGAGGTGACACTCTGAGCGAAGCCACCGGTGGTGCTCCTGGCATAGTGCTCTGCAAGCACAGTGCTCTCCAGGCCAGCGCCCGTCCATTCCCAGCCAAGCCGCTACCTCTGGCGGCTCAGGGCCGAGCGTGGCCACGGGGGTCCAGCAGCAGCCGCCAGCCCTCCTCAGTGGGACCTCCTCAGTGCCCTGTGCCCGTCTCCTCCAGCCCCAGGGACGCTGGGCCAGCTTCCAGGGGCTTTGGACTGCCACCTAGGAGTTGCCCCTTTCTCCAACTGGGACGACACGGGGTGTTGCAGCCACGGGAATGGGGTCGGTCCCGTCAGTTCACACACCTGTGGTTACTGGGCAGCTTACACGGTAACGGCTGCCCAGCACCTCACAAGCAGACACAGCAAGCAGGCTGCCGGCGTCTCCGTGGCCACTGCCGTGGTCTCCCGCCGGCAGTGCCCTGCCCCCGGCCCGGTGCCGGCTGCTTGCGAAACCGGCTCCTTGGCAGAGGGCTTATCTATCGGCTCATCGCCACCAACGGGCCGCCTCCACCGCGCCCGCGCTGTTCTCAGGCCCCCAAGTGCCCTTATCGGCCCATCACAAGCCCAGAACGGGTTTCCCAGAGAACTTTGAGTTCCAAGAACTCTCCAAGATGCAAGTTCCCGCGGGAGGACCCTCTGGGTCCTCCCCGCCCTTACCTGCTCCAGGGACTGGAGGGGACATAGGACAGTGACCCACTGCTGTCCTCCTTCCCAGGTGACGAGGCCACCCCAAGCGAGGACGGGCAAGGCACAGGTAGGTCTTGGGCGCCCAAAAGCTGCTGCTCCATGAGGTCCCTGGCCTGGCAGGGGAGGGGTCCAGGACAGAGGGCTGGGAGCCAAGAGGCTCCTGGGTGGGAGGGTAAGGGCCACGCAGGGGCTGGGCGGACCCCAGGTGGGTTTGGGCACAGCAGAGGGGGCACTGGTGGGGACTAGGGGCCCAGTACCCTCTCCGTCTGTCCAGGTTCAGCAGCGGAACTGGCTCCTGGAAACCGAGTCTATGACCTGCCCTGCCGCTGGCTGGAGGCATCGGATCTGCAGAGCGTCACACCGGCCACACTGCATAACGGCACAAGGCTGCAGCTGGCGGGGGTCCCGGCAGGCGTGCTGTGGCGCCCGGGACAGTGGCCCTTCTACTGCTGCTTGGGCTGTGGCAAGATCTTTTGGGAGGGCTCCCACCTGGGCCGCCTGACTGCACAGTTCCGTGAGATCCTGAGGGCCCCACCACCTGGTTTCTGTGAGCCCCCAGGTCGGCCGGAACCCCAGGCAGCCCTGCAATAAAGCTGGCCTCGGAACCAAACTCGGCCTGAGTGCTTCCTCCACGTGGTGTGGGCCCACATGGGGCCGGGACCAAGGTGGAGGTGCAGTCCTCTGGCAAGGAGGTGGCCTGGCTGGCACAGGTCTGGCCAGGGCTAGGTGACGCCCGGGCTGCCGGGCTCCTCGGGCTGGAGGGGGCGGGGCACAGGCTGCCCCATGCCTTAGGTGGCCCTCCCACATGCCAGCCCCACCCTCGGCTTTCCAGGCTCTGCAGGACAGGACAGCCTCCCGGTGCCCCTCAGCCAGCCCCATCCTGGGCCTTGCAACCCCGAGGAGCGGCAGTGGTGGGGTGCTGAGTGAGATTCCCAGAGGGCCGACAGAGGGAGGGGCTTCCTGGGGGAAGAGGACTCGGGCCCAGCGGCTGCAGGAGGTGGGCAGAGAGATGGAGTGGGACACCTGCCAACCCTTATGTTCCTGGAAGCTGTCCACCGTCCCAACCAGAAGGACTTGGGCTGGCCAGGCAGGGCCCCTCCTGGGAGGACATGCAGGGCGACAGCCCCACAGGGGCTGCACCTGCTCCAGGCACTGGGCACACGTGACCACCTCGGCTGCTCCAGCCGGTGTGGAGAGAAGAAAGCTCGGCCCGCTCACGTGGTCTGTACCTGACCCTCCCTGGAGGTCAGAGGGCATGGGGCACCATGCAGGGGATCCTGAGGGAGAGGGCACTAGGCAGGAATCAGGGCTCAGGACGAGGTGCCAAGTGGCGCAGAGTGGGGGCCGGCCTTCCCTCACGGCTCTCCAAGCTCCCCCCAGGAACGGCCCCCCTCCCACTTCCTGCTGGGATGGAAACCACTCAGACTTGCTGGAGGGCCAGCGGGCAGAAGCCTGGCCCCACACCTGCAGGCCCAGGTGTGCAGGCTGAGAGCTGCAGGGCCTCCCTACGGGATCCCAGCCCTCCCAGGGTTGACACTTGTCCCCTGTCCATCTGCGCAGCCAGGCTGGGGCCCAGGCCTGCCGAGTGCTGGGTGGGCACTCTCCCTCTTCCCCGAGTCACCCACTGGGCCCACATTCGTAGGCACCTCCCCTGCCCCCACTGGGTGCCGACTGCGGATGGGGGAGCCAAGCTGGGTCAGAGCTGCCCCTCCCCTGCAGTCACTGCCTCGTGGTCCTGCTGTGGATCTTGCTGGGGGTCCCCCTTGGGGTTGAGATGGGTCAAGTGGGGCGCCCAGGTGAGCAGGGCAGCAGTGGGGTGGCGGGGCTGTCCTCCAGGGAGGGGCCCACGTCCTGTTGTGGGGCAGCAGGGCAGTGACGGCTGCCCTCTCCCTCCCCAGGACCAGGAGGAAGAGGCCTGGGCGCTGGCGCCCTCCCGCCCAGCTGCATCCTGAGGCCCTGCTCTGGCCCTGGACAGGCGGGACAGCCGAGGAGGACGGGCGCCTGGCTGCAGGAGCTGGCGGCCTCTTCTCCGCTGCAGGCCGTGGGCCTCCAGCTGGGCTGCCCTGGGTCAGGCATGAGGACAGGGACCGGGTCCTTCTTTCTCCTCAGACCCTGGACCGGAGCAGCGTGCTGTGTGCCCAGCTCCGGCGGCCGGCTGCAGTGGGCTCCGGCCGCCCCAGCAGCCGCCTCTGTGGCAATTGTCTGCCGCAGTTCCTGCCGCCGGGCGTCCTTCCTCCTCGGCCGCTGGCCTTGTTATTGATGTCTACCCTCTCCCGGCCCTTCCACCACCAGGTGCCTGGGCTGCTGGGAAGAACCACTCAACCCTTTCCCACGCTCCAACACGTTTTAATGAATTAGCTGGAGGCCCCGCCCCCACTGCAGCTCACCCTTTCCTCCCCTCCAGGCCCAGTGCCTTGAAGGTGGCCCAGGACCTCGGCCCATGTCTGGCCAATCGCCCCCTCCCCACCCCCCTCCCCTGCCGCCCTGGCCACCTTGCCCAGGCCAGGGGTCCAGGGAAGGACAGGAAGGGGGTCCTTAGAGGGATAAAGAGGGCTCTTTCAAATCCCCCCACGTGGAGGTTGGGCCGGCTGGTGTGGCGGGAAGGGTGCCCACAGGGCCTCAAGGCCAGACCAAAATGGTGGCCAAGCCTTGGTTCTTTGTCCAAATGTGAGTCAGACGTGCCCCTGCAGAGCAGAAGGCCCGGCCTGCCTGGCAGCCACGGCAAACCCCCCCACTCACCTGCCTGTGTGAAACGGATGTCCTCTTGGGGGATATGCCTCCACTGGCAAACAGGCCACTGCCCTCCGGCCTCGCTCCGTCCTTGACCAAGGCAGTTCCCAGACCCCACAAACCCATGGCCTTGAATGTAGAAACTGTGGGGACACGGGTGTTGCATTCCCTGATGAGCACTGGTGGAGGAGTCCAGCCAGGGCCCATGCCGGGGAACCCGCCAGGCCACCAGCTCCACGGCCTATGCTGAGGCCAAGTTCACACGGACCTTACAGGGCCCCTTTTGTGTGTCACCCACCGCAGGGCATCAAGGGGACTTTCCTCCCAGACTCTGCTAGCGGTGGGCCTCAGGGCCCACAGATGCCTCTCCCCTGCCTGCTGGAGCCCACTATAAGCCACCCGCCTTCCTGGAGGAAGATGCCAACTGAAGGCCCTGGGTGGCTGCGCTGGTCTCGGCTGACCCTCCAAACTCAGTCACCTGGGCTGGCACAGAGCCGCCCTGTCCTCAAAGCACACCCCTCTGTGCACAGCCCCACCCCCACCTGTGTTCCAGGGTGGTCTCTGCTGAGACCAGTGCACAGGAAGGAGTGGGGGTGGGCAGCTAGTCCATGGCAGGTTCAAGCCCAGGGTTACTCTCTACCTGACTAAGCTGTGCCCAGACCTCTTGTTTCTACAGGCGTCCCAGCAAGGCTCAGCCTCCTCACCTCTCCCCCCTCCTCCTGCGTGAAGTTGGGGGCTATTAACAGTCCAACAGCCACAGAAGCTGGGCCTTCGATGGGGCAGGTTCTAAGCTCACAGCCCCCTCCCCACAGCTGCCCTGGGCCCAGTGAGCAGGCTTTCCCACGGCCATGGGACTGTGGGCGGGCTGTGTGGGAGCCACCTGGAGGGGCCTGAGGACAGCTGCTCCACAAACCACGCCCACCAGGGCACTGGGTCCCCAAGAGGGCCCTCAGGGAGCCAGGGTGCTCCTGTGCCCACTGAGGCATCAGGCCTCGCCCCTGCCTCTGCCAGGGTCTTGTGGCTGGGCAAGGTCCCCTTCCAAGCCTTGACACTCCCATCTTCAGTGTGGGGACAACCCTGGGAGGGGGGGTGGTCTGAGCAGAACGGGCTGGACCGGGGCTGGGAAGACCGAGATTGAGCTCTTCCCGGGCGGCATGAACGGCCTGGTCACCAGGAAGCCGGGGGGCCCCCAGGGGCAGCAGCATGGCCCCCTGGAGTCAGCAGGGTCAGGCACCAGGGCTGCCGGCCGGAGGCGGCCAGTAAGCAGGGTTGCCTCACCCGGTTTTTCCTGCCGGTTTGGCTGCGACCCCTCCCAGAGCCCAGAGCAGGGCGGGGATCACAACCACGTGGGTGCTGGACATGGGGGGCAGCAGTCAGACACCCAGGGGAGCCCCGCCCCCCAGCCTTGGTGGACAGGGCCTGACAGGGTGGTCTCCTCGGGCCCAGGGCCCGGCTTTCCGTTCGCCTGGCTTTCCCGCCCAGCTTCCGATGGAATGCGAGTCCCGGCGTGTTGCGCTCGCCCTGCCTCCCGCGGCTGAGAGGTCCTTCCTCCCAGCAACCACAGAGGAGCTATAAACCGTCGGGCCTAATGAGGAAATTGCCGCCCTGCCTCCCAGTGCTCCTGTGGCGGATAAAACAGGGTTTCCCCCGCCGCAGCCGCAGCAGTCCTCCGGTCTCAGGTCAGCCCGCGGCCGTCTAGGGCCGCTCACCGGGCCAGGCCTTGCAGGACCTGCGGCCCGCTGATGGGGGCGGGGGTGGGGCAAGGCGGAGGGAGGCTAACCAGCGGCCGGGCCGAGCTGACTACCGCCAACCACCGCGGTTCCAAGGTCCCCGCGTCACGAAGGAGACTACCATGCTGCCAGGCCTCGGGGCTAAGTCTGCTGCGGGGGCCAGTGCTCCAGGCCGGCTCCTGCACATACTGCGGGGGGCTGACCCTCGGCCACGCGCAAGGGCAGCTCCCCTGGGGTGCGCCCAGGGCCGGGCTGGGCCTGACTTGACTCGCTGCTCGCGTGCACCCGTGGGCCGGGGCCGCAGAGGGGCCTCCGCGAGTAGGAGGCAGCCTCTCCGCTCTTCGCCCCGCTCAGGTGGCGCGCAGCAAGTCCCGTCGCTCCTGGCTTCCCCGGGCTCAGATGCCGGCAAGCCCCACACCCAGGGCCCGCAAACCTCGGCCTTGGGCAGGGAGCTTGGAACTCCCCAGGTGGCCTGAGGGACCGTGGGCGGGACAACAGCCGAGAGAACTTTAAGGGGCCAAAAGGCCGGGCGCGGCGGCAGCGGCGGAAGGAACCTGCGGACAGAGGCGGCGGAGCGCGCGGCCGCGGAGCGGGACCCCTTCGCGGCCACCTGGCCTCCTCCGCCCCCGGACGACCGGCCACTAGCACCCCCCGCCGCGGGGCACGCCGCCGCCCTGACCCCGCCCCCTGGCAGGCCCCGCCCCCGCCCCGCCCCCACGTGGGCACCGCCCAATCGCCGGGGCGCCATAACGCGCGTCACGGGGGCTCCATTGTCATGCAAATAAAAGCGCGTAAAAGGCGCCCGGCGCAACCAGCCCGCGAGTGCAGCGGTGCGTGGGGAGGCGCTGGTGGAGCCGCAGCCCGAGCAGTCCAGGCCCCGGGGACCGCGCGGTGGCCGCCTTCCCCGCCGCCCGGCCCGGCGCCCAGCAGCACTGCGCAC